CACTGGTCAAGAAAGCAGCACCAAGTCAGGGAAAGGAAACCCAAAGCTCATGAAGCTGAGATGTTTATCTGTGACTGATCTCTGAACAAGCACAGCCTATATTTCTGTTTATCGTAATACCCCTTGTATACAAACACAGGAGAGTGGGTGGGTTGAGAGATGCGGAGATGCTGTAATTTCTGATGTTAGATCTGTGCCCATTATTGTTACAGGAAAACAAGTTACCAACAACATGTTGTGGCAATGTATCCATCGGCCTTGTGGCCCTGGTGTTAGGTTAGCCAGCTGGAAAGCTCCTATATAACCAGTCTACCTGTTGAAGAGCTGTACAGATATATTTCTACTAGTGTTGGCTTGATTCCTCTTGTTTTCTTTTGGATTGGACTCTGGCTTTAATCGCCCCCTTGCCCGTTAACTTTTCACAAGCACTCAGCTGTCGGTCCCCTCAGTGCTCGCGGGCAGATGCTGCAGGTCCTGTGTTTCATGTGGCAAAGGTGCCCGCTGATGCAGCAGCACTGACTGGTCCCGAGGTCTTCCCTGACGGTTTTGGTGCAGAATCAGTTAAATGGCTTGGACGAGGATGGCGCCAGTTCTTTCAAACCATGGCAGGCTCATGCAACTCCTTTCTATGCCTGAAGGAATAGTCAAAAGAGAGCCATCAGTGGAATAATGCACTTTGTATTTGTAATATGAGGTGGGATACTTTTGAAAACAGCCAGGGGCGTTGTTCCTTCCAACCCTTCACCAAAGCTTTGGCACAAAAACAGTCAAGGAGCCTGCAGAGGGTTCTCACCACTCCCCGTGGCCAGCGGCGTGTGCGGCCACGCGGGGGAACAGCGGGAGTTCGTGAACGACGGCATTCATGACTTCCAGCCAGCCAATGAATCCAACCGCAGCCTCTGCTTTTTTTTTTTCTTTTGGCAAAGTCCACGTGGATCTGAAGAAGAGAGAATTTAATATTTTTGAAAACATCAGTACTGTTTTTCCCCTTAAAATTGCTTTCTCTTCCGGAAAGGCTTACAGCACTGCTGGCTTACTCAGTCCCTCCTCCTGATTTTGGCCCTAATTCACTTAAAGCACTGAAGGCATTTAAAGTGCATTCCTAGCTTTGAGCAGTTAATGGGGCTGAAGTCAACGAGGCTGCTCAAAAGACTGCTTTAAGTGAGACAAATCTGTTTGAGTACCTCAGTAAGCTGAAGGCTAAAAAAGAGATCTCATTTCTGACCACAGCTAACCATCCCAGTCTAACTCTGAATATTGAGTATTTCATCATCCCAGCACAAACACAGAGGAAAAAACATACACAAATTATAATGTAATTTGAAACACAAAAATGAGGGAATTGTTTTTTCTTGTGCGTTGTTCTTCAGCAGGCAAAAACGTAGATGCCTTTTGCCACGAATCATTCACTTGAGTTTTTTCTTAAGCATTGTGTACTCTCCTTGTTTTTTATATTTTGAAACTGTCCCCCTGCTTTTATTTTGGCTGTTGGACTGAGATCTATTGTAGAATTTATGTCTGCAGTTCATGTCTCCATTCCAAACAGAAGCTGTGTCGTTTAAAATAATGTCTATATTGTTACACTATTCTTTGCTGCAGTTACAACTTTTATATCCTTAACCTCGTGCTTTAGACTTGCAGAACAATACTCACTATGCTTGCAGCTAAATCAGTGTAGTAGTTAGCAAAACTGTTGTGAACAGCAATGACTCTTTGTCCTTGCTTAAGGCAACTAGGCCTGGAAAGATCCCAATCTGTGAAGGTCAGATTGTCTTGTTAGGAATACATGGTTCCTGGTAGAAATTATTTCCATTAGATCAGATGTATATATATAATTAGCAGAACCAAAACAGATAGGCTTCTTACGGGAACAGCTAAGCAGCCAATCAAGTTATTGTATCAGAGAGGTGTTTTTTTTCAATAAATATATTACACAGAGAACAGAATCATATTTTTTCTTACAAGTTGGACCTTATGCTAAAAAGGCTACTCTATAGCAAAGCTAGATAAAGAATGAAAAGCTTGCGTTTTATTCTTGTGTCTCAAAATGATGTGATGCACTGAATTGTGCATAGAATAATAAAATGTAATATAGCCCTCAGTGTTATTTTACAAGTATACCCATTTTGAATAAGCAGTAGTGAAATCACTTTCCTTACGTGGTACTTGGGGAAAGGCAAGCATTTTTTAAGGAGAACTGTGTTGCTCAAGAATGCAGAGGACTGGCAAAAGCCAGCAGTGGAGACATACTAGGCGTATCCAGTACCAGAAAATTTCAGTACTTGGAGAACTTGCCATTTCAGTTGTTATATTAGCATATCCATTTGATCAAACTCATCTCTAGAAACCAGTGGAAGTCCTTTGACTAGTTTCCCTAGGCAGATGAACGTGATCCTTTATTGTGAAGTACGCGCAGGTCTGGAGATGCTGCAAGTGCTCTCACAACTGCTGGGAAACCGCCAGTGGGAAATTCTAGAAAGTAGCAGGTCCTAGAAATTCTGCTGGTTTTAAGATGATGTTAAAATTTATGAAAAAGATGTTATCACATGATTGCTCTTAATTGGTAGACAGGAGTTTCAGGTCCCAAAAAATCCTTTAAGTCCTGTGCTCCTACTAGAGGAAGTGGGAGTCTGATCCTTCAGCCAGCAGAGTCCATGCTGTCAGCAGAGACTTATTGGTATGGACCTGGTGTTAGTGGGCAGACAAATCTCGATGTTTCTTTTGCATCTGCAGAACTGGAAATAATGTCTCAAAGTACCTGCTTTGAAGTATCTCATCATAGAAACAGAAACACAAGAACCTAAGAGACAGTGAGCACAGACTGACTGAGGAACAGGTTAGTCAAGATATTGACTGCAGAAATTGATGAAAACTTCCTTAGGTGACATGACTTGGCTTCTGTTATTTTTCTGTAATTGTCATCTTAGAATTCATGCCAAACTCAAAAGACCAAAAAATGGGGACTGTTCATAGTATGCAATGAAACCAATCTATCACTGATGTAAACCAACTGTCTTCGGTAAAGTTTTGCCAGAGTCAAATGCTGCTCAATCACATTGTGTATGTTAGCATGGTTTCTAAGATACTGATCACAGCAATACAAATAATTGTATTTAAAATATTCCACTACCATTCATTTTTTTTGTTGTTCATTCCAGATGAAAGTACTCTGCAAATGGACACAAGTCATATAGCCTGGGGCCCACAGTTTCCATTCTTGCATTTAGGGCAAAAAATATTATTCCTGTAAAAATAACCAGACATTTAATTGCATTTCCTTTGGGTATTTTGAAGGCTGTCTCTCCCAGCTGTTTGGTAGGTGTAGCATTGGACATGTATCTGCACCCTTCTGCTCTGCCTCTGCGGTCACAGAGTGGGCAGGGAACTGAGAAGGCATCCCTGGAAAGCAGCTCCTGTGTTCAGGAGCTTTCCTTGGTAGGGACTGGGATTGCATTTCCATTATAACCAATTCTAGTTCTTTCAAAATTAAATACTTGAGTTATGAACCTGCTTTAGAACAAGTTAGATCATGTTGGTATGAAAAGCCAGAATTTTTTCCACCTGGTGCTCTAGAATCTAACTTCGGCTTAATTCCTTTTCTTCAGGCTGTCTGATAGAATAGCTCCAAGGAAGATGTGATCTCCACAGCCATTGTAAGAGAGGAAGCAATTCTGAAGAAAGGTGATAATTGAAATTTATTTTTTCATGTAAACTATTTAATCTTTAATCAACAAGCACATAAGAAAAGGATAATCTCTTTTAGAAGATCTGCATAATGTGTTTCTGAGCACTGTCTTGTCTTCTGGGAGCCCACAACCAATTCCTCTGAACTACACAAACATCCAGACTAGATCTCTTCAAAACATCCTGTGCACCTGTTATGTGGAATGGCTTTTGAATAGCGATTTGTGTCCTTTTCCGTTTCAGAAACACACAGGAAGAATCCCCGTTTCATTTAGTATCTAGGCACAGCTCTGAGATGGGATTATGTACGAGCTTGCTGAACGTCAGAGAAAACGTCCTACCATGCCTGAAAAAAACCATTTGGTTAGGGGCTTTTTGCTAACGTGTGATGCACCTGTGTGTTCCTCTGAATGTTCTGTACAGGACTTAATTTCCCTAATAAACTTCGAGTGGGTTTCTTATGCTTATTGGTCAAAAACGGTGGCCAGGATCACTCCAATGGATCTTTATATGGAGCTCTCCTTTTATGTGAGACAAGCTAGTGCGCAGTTTGTCCTTTTGCTCAAACCTGGCACTCGTCTCCATGTTTTTTCACTTCTGAATTAGAGTTTGCAATGATTTATCCTATTTAGGACAAAATCAGTCTGAGATTATTTTAGGAATGTTCCTCCCTTGAATTTTGTTACCCATTACCCACAGGAGTAATGAAAACCTGTGACTGTACACTGTAACCTTTCAGAGGGAAGATGCTAAATGTACCTCTGTCCTTTGTGGAGTACAAGATACCTGTTGATGCTTAGCAAGTAACTAATAACTATAGAAATACATATACAAGTATTACTGAATAGGACTTGGCTTGGTTTTTTGATAGGAGAGGGACGAGAGAAGATGTGGGAGACTAAGAATGAATCCCTGTCATGCTCTAAATATGTGGATGCACATAAATATTACATGAACTTATCATGTGGTGTTTCATGGCTGTAAAGAGACCGTAAAGCAGTTTTTGCCCTTGTTTCTCTCCTTCTTCAAAAAATGACCCCTCTTTATTCAGCTTTCTCTGAAACAGATGTGCAGTTGCAGGAAGAGGAAGAGGTAACCTTGAATCCCTTGAACTCCTGCCTTTTTAGACAATTGAAAGGATATAGCCAAAAACTGGCATCAGTGAGCAAGGCAGCTGCAGCACATTCCAAATATTGCTCTATTTAAAGCATCCCAAGGCTCACAAGAACAACTGCAGAGGCAAACCTTAAAACTTGCCGATAAAACCGGCAGAGGGAGGAATGGCAGAACCAGGTAAGATGCACAGTTAAATGTGAATGTAACAATGTATTCTTAAAATTCATAAATCTGAGCAATGTAACGTGAAAATACTTAGCTATTTGTATTCTTGTATGATACACTATATATTTTACTTTTCAGTAAGAAAGTGTACTCGGTTTAAAAGCTAATTCTATTAACAGTAATGAGTTTGAAGTAGCTTGGGTTCCTCTTGTATTTTTGAATCCTACCAGTTTTGTTTTCTTTAGTTTTTTTGTAGCTGTGATTTTAAGTTAACTAACATAATTAAAAGGAACTATGTAAAATGAGTTATGTTTGACAGTGTTTTAAATATACTGTCTGTGTAGCTGAAATCTGAGTGTAATGCTAGGTGAACATATAATTTAGATTTTAACCCCACAAAGCCCAAGTGGCAGAGCAAAATCAAATTTTAATAACGACCTTTTCATTATAAGCACGTTTCCACTTTCTCCAAGGAAAAAAAGTCATTTTATAAAAATGTGTTTTATATTCATTGTCATTTTCTGTTTACTTCACTGTAAGAGCTTTGGATGGTGAAATGACTGCAAGTCTTAATATGGTGTTAGCTGTGTACACAGTTATTCAGGTGTAGTACTTTTCCTTGTAAAAATAACCTTTTTATACATCTGAATAGCTATATTAAAAGTTTTTAAAGACGTTTATCTCCCTTTTTTTGCATCATTACTGCTGGTATCTAAGAAGGGTAGTGGAATTCTACTAAACTCAGATACAACACCATACTGAATGCTGTTTCTTAATTTTAGTTTTCATTGATATCCACAGAAATTATACTGATACTGGTATTCCACTAGGAATTAGTCCTTAACCATATTTTGCATTGGTAGGATGTGTATTGTTATTTGTGTTTAAATTAAAAAAAAAAAAAAGCAATGTGGCCATAATCACTCAGACGGACCAGGCTGGCACCAGCACCAGCCCTGGGGTGGCAGCGGGAGTCGCAACGCCCGGGCAGCTGGGCTTGACTGCCTCCTGCCCCCACAAGCCTCCAGCCCGGCCCCTGCACGCCCTGCGCAGGGGGACAAACGCCTCCCTGGAAATGCTAGGGAGCAGATGAGAAATGTTGGGCAACCTTGCTGAAATGAATTAACTGCAGGGTTCGCATGATTTTTAAATATGAAGCTGGCAAATGCCATCAACACAAAAGCCTGTCCACATCAGTTCTGTGGTTAAATTAGATTTTGGAGCACCACAGCCTCTATTGGCAGTGCACAAGGAACATGGAAAAACTTGTCTGTTGGGGCTGGCAGCTGGGAGATGCAGGAGATGTGGCCCTCTGGGCATGCCCACACATTCCCCCCTAGTTTGCTGACCAGTGTGGTGTTCAAACTGCCATCCCAATGACAGGTTAGTGGTTTGGTTGTGTGTGTGCATGTGTAGCCTATATGAGACAAAATACAAAGAAAACTTAACGTGAAATTCTGAGGCATTTTGGAGTAGGGAACATACGACTGCGAGTTTGAGCTTGACAGGCTTAGGTAGGGAAACATTCCCTTCTTTACCTGCCAAACCTCTGCCTCTTTAAAGTAAGTGGGAGTGTTTCCACCTGGTATCTTGGGGCGCCCTTGTCCCTGCGGTCAGGCCCAGGCATTTCAGGGGAGAAGGCAGCTCAGTGAGACCACAGGCATCATTTTTCTCGTGGTAGTTGGTAGGAGTTTTGACCAACTACAGATGGCAAAACCAAGCTAACTTATGGTTTTGGATAAAAGGTAAACCCCACAAAAAAAGAAGATAGCAATCAGATGAAGTTTATCAGTGTATTTAGGCTGTATTTAGCTTGGAAGCCTGTGCTGCTGTATCCTGTAGTTGAGGGATCCTTGGCTTCACTGTGGTACTTAGGCATCCCATGGTGGACAATTCGTAGGGCTTCCGACCTGCAGAAGCGCAGAGCTCGGGAGTCTGTTTATTACATGCAGAGGAACCCTGCTGTAGCACAGCGAAAGTGCTGTGTGTTTGCTGCTCTGACCAGCCTCTCTCTGTTTATTTTGAGATAAATTCATGTTTGAAGTAGAGAAAAATTACTGTAACGGGGAAAAAAGAAAGTAATTTGTAGCTAGAACGCCAACTTACATACGCTGGTCACAGTAAGATTCCTTTATTCTAGCTGCCATCCAGAATTGGCCTTTTGATTTCAGCAGGCTCTGGCTCAAACCCCAGAAGCCAGAGTTTGTTTCCTTGGACTGTTTGAAAGCAATGCTTGTGACTGCAATAACCCACGTTTCTCTCAGTATTCTGCTTTCACGTGCATTCATTTAAATGGTGATTATAATGAAACTTCATGTTTTAGGGTTTTAGCTGGTTACCTGCAGGTGTCAGTAAAGATTTCTTTCTTTCCAAAACACAGTTGCTTAGAATTATTCTGTTCCTCTGTTGCTAGTCCCTCCCGACCCCATCTCCACCTCAGAAAGCAGAAAATGGAAAGCAGACAATGCAGATGCTCTCCTTCTGGCTGTTGGTGCGCACAGCCTTGCTCCACGGTGAGGGTAATAGTGATTCTCAGATCTAGACTCAGGATAGTTTTCCCTTGGACCAAATATTGGGACCTTGGAGTTTGTAACCTTCTTCTGAGGCCTTGCAAATGGGTTACCTGCTCGGACATCTCACCTGGCCAAGCCCAAGCCTTGTGCATATCTCGCACTTCAGTCTCTTCTGCTTGTGGCGTAAAATATAGTCTTCCAAGCAGTTACTTTACTCTAACTCAAGTCTTGAGGTATCTGTCCTGTGACATATAGGAGATTAGAGCAAATGATCTCATGGTCATTTCTGTTCTTAAACTATGAAACACAAGTACTCCCAATGGCTCCCATGAAACTCTATCCCTTGGAGCCAGCTGCTTGCTGCCTCATGACAAATGCTGGGCACAGCATTCCGATGATCCATCGGGACTTGCCTGCCTCTCTCCTACCTTACTGCATTTTAACTGGATCTCATATAACAAAACACCATATTCAGTAGATACAATGGTAACTCAGCAGAGCTCTGTCAAAACTCTTCCATGTACCCCAGCAGGATCCAGCCCTTTATTTGTAATTGGATCTTCAGAAAAAATGGCAAGTAAAGCAAAATGATTCCCAACAGAAGTAGCTTTACCTTACAAAGCGTCAAAGGAATAACAGTCTTTAAATGAAACAGGTAAGGGACTCCCCTGTGGCACAAGGACACCCAGTTTCAGAGCAGAATTTTATCTTTTTGCTGTGTGGTTGCTTATCTCTTTTATATTTTTATGGCAGCACATGCAGATTTTCTATCTATATATTCTCTCTTTCCTTCTCAGTAGATACACCGTGCAATATCACGGTGAGACATGTTTGTGTTGTGCATAGCTTTAAAGGAGCAATGTGGAAAACCTTAAATTATTGAGCATCCTTCCAAAGTCTGTCTGCTTGATCTAAACTGTGCAAGGTGTTGTGAGTAGTTTTACATTATTAATCCCTTCAAAAACCTGGAAATCTTTTAACTGCAGAAAGATGTGCTTTAAAATGTTGTAATATATTGGTAAGTAATATGATCTCAAAGGTTGATATGCTGCTTTCTGGCAAGCTTCTGCTATTTGCAGGAAACTGATAGAAGGGTCTTTTGAAATTCTGGTGCTGTATAGAAACATATTTATATAAGCGCTAGTCCTGCTTTCTGCATGCTCCTTGTAGAACCACCGCCTGCATTGGACACCACGTCTCCATGTAAATTTTTAGCTTGTTCTAGTACTCGTGGGCGATACAGGCAAGATGTCACATTTTTGTGCCTGGCCCAACTCAGCCAGGCAGGTGGTACATTCACATTGGAAACTCTTACGTTATTTTCTTACTTGAAGGTGGGGAACACCCTCGAAGTGGATAATTACATCAACCTTAACTACCCTGTATCGCTGTAGTGACAGGATAGGAGAGGGCTAAGTCAGGCACCATGCACAGAAGGCACAGAGATGAGCTGTGAGTCCCTGATGCACAGCCACTGGCAAACATCCCTTTGGGGTGTGGGAACTCATACAGCATCCCCTCATTGCAGCCCCAAGCAGATTAACTTTAAATGGGTGCAATGTTAAATAATCACTGTATTTTTGATTTACTGTTGCCAGCCTAATGAGACTTCTAGAAGGTGCTGTAAGTGTCAGGGATTGAATCCTGTATCTGCCAGGACAGCTTCTATCAATAAAGTCCAGTACAGATGTTCTCCTGATGACCTATGGAGACCAAGGACAGACCCGTGCTTGTCTCCTCCCTGTACCCTGCTGCTTTTGGAAGTGCTAAGCCTTGTACATATCTGATTGCAGAGGCCATAGCATGGAAACCTCTTTGGGCTTTTGCTATGTATTCTCATTAGAAGGCCTGCCAAAATATGGTGACTCCAGGCTAAAAATAGCAATCATAGATAATGTGGCCCAAGCTCACAGGTATCTTTTTGCTCTGGGATAATCATGGTTTTGATATGTTTAATTTAGTGAATTCAGCATCAATGTAATGTGGCCTTTCTGAAAAAGATCGTCTTTTCTCTTTCAGCCCAAGTCCCGCTTTCACGTCTCGTTGTACCTATACTCCTTGCAGTTGGCTGGATAGTGGGTTGTGCCCTAATGGTTTACATTGTCTTCTCTTGATGGAAGTAAGTGACTTGTACAGTATCATATACCATCCATGTTTTCTCTGGTTTGCACTGCCACCTTTTTCAACGTAATTGTTTTTGTCTTGCAGGACAGAAGAATTTACAATTATGTTGATTAGAAGAACCTGGAAGTTAAATTGAAAATTTTAATTACTAAAATATGTATGAAATGAGTTATTTTTAATATCAATGCTGTAAACATGGTGTACAGTTTTTATCCACAACAAAGGTGTGAAATGCTAATTAGAGCATTAGGAAGAATCATCAAACCAATTTCCCAGTTTTCCAATGGTTTGTAATTGAGCGAGTAGTTTTTGGAGTCCAGTGGTAGGTCAGATACCTGCCTGTTCTGCAGCCTGCGTTGTTGTCGCCACCTTGAATTTAAGCAGTTTTGGAAACAGTATTCCTAGAGTTAGTGACACAGTGGTGGACAAAAAAGTGAGTTAAGTTCATCTGTGAGATGTGCTGAGCTGGGGAAGAAGTATCTCAATGTATCTGGGAAAGTTTTAAGTGAGTTAAGACTTTTTTTAAGTTTTGTAGTGAAAAATAAATTATTAAATTTAAAATGTTGTGGTGGTACACTTTCCCTGTCCCAAGATCTGAAGTGTTAGTGTCTAAATAAATTTTCCAAAGCTACATTATCTTCCTTTTTTTAAAAAAGCAAACAGTCATGCAAGCATACTAATACATAAATCAAAAGAAGTCCTTTAGGAAATGAAAGACAGGGAAAGTTACCTGGAAGAAATGCATCCTAAAATGTATGACTTGGACCTTCTAAATCCTAAAACGTTTGTTTTATATTTAATAGTATGTAGATAAATACCAAATTAACTGCTGGTCTCTTCTGTTTACATGATGTTCAGGGCCCAATTTTGTATTTACCCATTGGCAACCAATCCAGTTCTTGTCAAATTAAATGCCACTGGGCTCGGCGGGCACTGAACTGGATCGAGACCATGTGGAATTCCAGCTGTCTTTTCTGGCATGCCGGCAGCCCTCCTCTGCTGGCATCAGCCAGAGTGCAATCCAGGCCTGTTAGAGAACAAAGGTAGAATTCAAAATTAAACTAAATAACTAGTCTGGAAAAAATGCAGTGCAATAGGTGAAAATTCAATTTCTATACCTTGCAGGAACTGTTAAAAAGCACAAATACAGGACAGGGAACTGCTGGCTGGGTAGCAATCAGAAAAGAGCCCTGGGAATTGCCATGTATCACAACCTGAATTCAGGTCAGCAATGTCATAACGTTGATGTGGAATGGGAAACATCTTGGGATGAGTACCAGAAAAATGGCCTGAGAGATGCATGAAATCACCCCCCTGCTCTACCAGCGACAGTAAGGCCTTCCCAGCCTACTGCAACTGGCTTGGGCACCACAGGAACCAGTTGTAGGTGATGGGAAGGAACTCGGGAGAGCAACAAGAGGGAACTGAGGATTGTAATATTTAAAGAGTGAGAAAATGAGCACACTGGAGTGGTTCAGCCTAGGAAAGAGCAGACTGAAGAAAATGTAAGTCTTAAATATATAGGACTTTTTGAAAGAGGAAGGGAATCATCTCTTCTTGGTGATACACAGGGCAAGAAGTAATGAAGAACTAGCAAGTGAGATTCAGGCTGTCCTTATGGTAAAGGCACAGAAGTACTGGAAGAAGTTTTTAGGCATAATAATCAATATTATTCTTGACTACCGGAGGCCTCTGAGAACAGATGGACAAACATTCCTTGGGCATGCTGCAGGAGTAAAGGTGATCCTGCCTTGGTGCCTGAGGGCAACTATTTGACATCTCCTCATGCATGAGCCTCCATGACTGTAAGTACTCCCATGAAATTCTGCGGGACTGTTTACAGAGAATCATAGAATCATTTAGGTTGGAAAAGACCTTCAAGATCATCAAGTCCAACCATAAACCTAGCACTGCCAAGTCCACCACTAAACCATGTCCCTAAGCGCCTCATCTACACGTCTTTTAAATACCTGCAGGGATGGTGACTCAACCACTTCCCTGGGCAGCCTGTTCCAATGCTTTACAACCCTTTCGGTGAAGAAATTTTTTGTAATATCCAATCTAAACCTCCCCTGGCACAACTTGAGGCCATTTCCTCTCATCCTATCGCTTGTTACTTGGAAAAAGAGACAGAACCCACTGATGGTAACAACAGGCAAGTACTACTTCCAACATTAGGCTTTTTGACATACAAGGAAAACATTTTAATGCTGGTTGCAGTGTTAGGAAAAGTCTGTATAACATAGAATGGGAGATGAGCTGCAGATCATGTACACGGCGCGTAGGTAAAGTCGTGCGAAGAAAGGCATTAGTGTTATTAGAGGAATGAGACTGACTAAGGAGGCTAATTTTCAAATAAATGCATTGCATGTCAGTCGTCTCCATCTAACTGTGGACTATGTAGCAGAAAGGGCTGAGCCTTCTGTCACATATTTAATGCTTTAATTTCATATGTTCTTAAAACCTCGTAGATGTTTCCTGAGTCATTAAGAGGAGGAAGAGGCATGAGAGAACTGTTTCTTTAGTTTGATCCAAGGGGCGGGTGGGCTGATTCTCTGAAGCTCCCAGTTTTCGTGCTCGAATGACGGGATGCCATCCAGAGGGACCTGGACAAGCTCAAGAAGTAGGCCCGTGTGAACCTCATGAGGTTTAACAAGGCCAAGTGCAAGGTCCTGCACCTGGGTCTGCACAACCCCCGGTATCAATACAGACTGGGGGATGAAGGGATTGAGAGCAGCCCTGCAGAGAAGGACGTGGGGGT